TCTCGTTCTCAGGGTGACATTTGCTGATGCGTCAGGTCAGCTCTGGGAGTGTGAGGACAGGGTCTGTCCTGCTCTGGTTCATGTGCAGAGGGACCCGGGTCCCTGACCTTCCCAAAGCTGACCAGAGTCACACTCTCTGTGACACAAATGCAAGCTCAGTCCATCAGTAATAACATCAATGCTGCTCCTTATTTCTAGCTCCAAAATTAACTCTTTTTAATGAAACCCTGGGCTAGGAATGATCAGGAAACCAGCACACGAGCAGGGTCCTGGGGCTCCCAGGGCTGCACTGAGCTGGGGCCTGTTGTCCCATAAGAAAAATCTCTGTTCACAGGTCCCAGGAAGCTGTGCCACAGGCTGAGTGTCTCACATACCTGTGACTTTTTCTCTAAAAACTTTACTTTGAGGTTTCTGTGATAATTTGAAAATATCAAGTGTAGAAATTTTTAGAGAGAAAGAAGAGAAGCTTCCTGTAAGTCCCCTCACATGAAAGCTGATGTGTAATTTGAAAGGAAGGGGGATGACAGATAAAAAGGAAATCTCTCCTACCTGACAATTGTAACTAGACTGCTGCATGTACTGTTCCCATTTCAGGTCTGCGGACCATGAGCTGTCCTCAAGCCATATTGTATTCACAGGATCCCCGATACCTAACTGGTAATTTCAGGATCATTCCAGAGATACAGATGGTCAAAAGCTGCCCCAGTTACTTCTTTTTTGGTGGGGAGGGGACATAGTCTCGCTATGTTGCCCTCAGTAGAGTACTGTGGCATCAGAGCTCACAGCAACCTCAAACTCTTGTACTTAAGAGATTCTCTTGCCTCAGCCTCCCAAGTAGCTGGGATTATGGGCACCTGCCTCAATGCCTGCCTATTTCTTTGTGGCAGTTGTTGTTGTTTAGCTGGCCCTGCTGGGTTCACACCCACTAGCCTGGGTGTATGTGGTCGGTGCCATAACTACTGTGCTACAGGTGTCAAGCTGGCTCCAGTTCCTCCTGATCAAGGACTTCCTGTTGGAGTTCTGATCAGTCTAAAGGGTGCAGGGAGCTGGCCCCCCTCCCAGGCCCTGCCCTGCCCCCGTCCAAGTGCAGCAGCACCCCTCACAGGTGGCTGGGAGACCCCACATGGACAAGCTTCTCCAACCAGGTGGGACATATTGGGTGAGGGTGTCCCACTTCCTCCTCCCCAGACCAGGCAGGTCCCAGTGCCCCAAGAAGAGGTTGTTGTCAGGAGCCTAGGGACTCGTAATTCTCCTTTTTCAGATCCTCCTGAGAGACCCTGGAATTGTCACTCCCTCACTCAGACCTGTCTCTTCCCTGTCCAGTGCACTCCCCAGATTCTATGCTCCTGGGTCATAGAACTTTATCATTTCAGAGGAAGCAGTGATGGCCAGGACCCCAGGAAGCTGGCCCAGTATCTGAAATGGTAGCAGAACCGTTCTCCATAGGGCCGCCTAGTGGCCACAAGGAGGAGGGCCCTGGAACTCCTCCCCTAAGCATCTCCAGATCTAGGTGAGCTAGGGAAGGGCCTGGGTGGTGTGCTGACTCCATGTAAATCTCACCTGTCTTCTCCCCAGAGCAGCATCCTGGAGACCCCCCACATATGCTAAGCAAGAGTTAGAAGAACCTAATTTACTACCAGAAAATGTCCTTTAGCCACATCTCAATACACATCACTCCTGCCCCATATCCTTCATGTATAGAAATATCACCAAGGACCCAACACGGTTTGAATTCCAGCCCCTCAGGTTGTCACTGTCCCATCCAATCCTCAGACTCACTAGACTCTTCCCCCACAGAGACTGACTGAGCATTTCTCACACACTCCCGTTTCTCGAGCCTTTGAAAAGTCTGATAGCAGTTCCAGAAAGAGTTCTCCTCACCTGCTCTTCTGACACAGCCTGCCTGTCACATTCTGTCTAACTTCCTTATTAGTTATCTGCATAGCAGCAATGATGGGGGCTTTTCCATTAATATTTCTATGAATTTATTCATTTGTATAAATTGTTTCCCTATGGTGAGAAATGCTTTTAACTGCAGGTTCACACATATGAAATACAGAGACACAGACACAGGGGAGGTGATTTCTCCTAGCAATCTAAGTCAGGGTTAAAACCGGGTTTAATTTCGAGATTCTCACCATTTCCATGAAGGCACCAGGGTCTTTGTAAGTCCCTGTTCCATTGTCCCTATGATGTTGACTTTGTTTTTAGTCTTATTGGCACAAAGACTCTGGATGGCTGTTCCAACTCCAGTCATCACACGTAAATTCAACAGGAAAGAAGCAACAGAAATCCAGCACGTTCCTTCCCTTTATAAGAGCAAAGTTTCCCCAAGAAGGAACAGCCAAGTGACCAAGGACTATCGCTGGGCCACACAGTGAGGCCTGGCTGAGGGAGACCTAACTCAGCAGGTGTCTATGTGATTAAATAAATAAAGCAGACAGTGTTGAGGGAGAAGCTGGTGGGGACTGTGCTGTGCCTGCAAACTCAGTGTGTCTATTGCACGGAGCCCCAAATAAGAGAAGAAACTCACTGCAAGCAGGCTGTCTCTTGTTCATTCTTGCAGGGAGGCCTTAGCTGGGCCCTGCCCCTCCCCTCCAAATGGGCAAGTTCATAGTTTGCACGGCAATCTGAGCCCTCGTGCCTGGTCTGGAGGCAGCAGAGGTCACACAGAGAAGAGGAACCCTCCTCAGGGCAGCTGCCTGTGGGTCAGGGGAGAAGGGACCTGAGGAACAGCCTGTGAATCTGCACCTGTGCCCAGGAGCCCCTTGAGCTGCAGCCGCCAGTGTGGGGCAGCCACCAGGGGGCGGCAGAGTCACCTGGTTCTAATCACAGGAGTCAGCCTTGCTCCCACTCATCTTTCTCCTGCTTGATGTGAAGCACAGATTCTGGCTCCACGTCTCACATCAGGCCGCTCTGTAGCTTCCTATTTCTCTGGTTCAGGGACAAGGACTTCATTACCCCGACCCAGGGAGCCCCAAGGAGGCTCAGTCTCTTTAAGTGCCAAGCTCCCCTAGAGCACTGGGATCTGTCCTAGACTTCCAGTACACACTGGGGACAGTGAGGCCCGGTACAAGGACCTGCCCCAGGAGCTCACACCAAGGGCAGGGTCTCTCTTTAACAGAGCATGTGAGCTGCTGGGTGACTCACACCTGTAATCTTCCCACAGTAGGATGCAGAGAAGACAGAATGGGGGGAGCCCGGGGGTTCCAGGGGTCACTGAGCTGTGATCTCACCTCTGCACTCCGGCACGGGTGACAGACTGAGATGCTGCCTCCAACAGGCTTAGGAGAATCCAGCACTGTGAACAGGGCTGTAAACTCAGGATCGGGGATCTGAGTTGGTTTGAGGCTGCTGCGGTGTGTTGTCACCTGTAGAAAGGAATTAGGAAAGTCAGAGAATGTCATGTGTGAACTCAGCATGGCCTGGACAGAGACCTGAACATAGTCGTGGGTGGAGATATTGGCCTAGACTATGAGGCCAGTTGGTGGAAAAGACTCCTGGGTGTTAGGCTGGGCCTGCAGGTGCCCCTCCCCACCCCGGGCCTCTGGGCTGAGCCTGTCTGGAAACCACAGAGCTCCTCAGGCAGCAGCCTCTGACTTGGGCTCATTTGCATCCTGGGCAGCTCTCTCCACCAGGGGATAAGACAGGCCTGGGAGGCACCTGCCCTGCCTTGGCCTCAGAAGCAGCATCGGGAGTGTCTCCACCATGGCCTGGACCCCTATCCTCCTGGGCCTCTGGGCTTACTGCACAGGTGATTCCCCAGTGGACCCCTCACCGATCCCCAGGGCTTAGGGACAAGCCTGGGTGTGACTCAGAGCTCAGCAGGGCCCTGGCTGTGGAGGGCAGGGGGCTCCTGACCTTGCTGCAGGCTGAGGAGCCGGTGGGGCTGAGGCCCCAAAACTGTGTTCACTGGTCCTCTGAGGAACTTTCCCCCCATGGAGAGTGGAGAACTTTTGCTGTGAGCCCTCTGGTTCTAGAACATTCATTACTCTTTCACATTCTCTCCTTGCAGGATCTGTGGCCTCCTATGAGGTCACCCAGCTGCCTTCGGTGTCAGTGTCCCTGGGACAGACGGCCAGGATCACCTGTGGGGGAAACAACATTGGTAGCAAAAATGCTTACTGGTACCAGCAGAAGCCTGGCCAGTCCCCTGTGCTGGTCATCTATTATAGCAATAACAGGCCCTCAGGGATCCCTGAGCGATTCTCAGGCTCCAACTCAGGGAACATGGCCACCCTGACCATCAGTGGGGTCCAGGCTGAGGACGAGGCTGACTATTACTGCGCCACCTACCATGGCAGTGGGAGCAGCTTTCAGTGACTCACAGTGAGACAGACTGATGGGGATGTGGGACAGGAACCTCTCCAGCTCACTCTCACAGCCTCTGAGCAATGACCGTGACTTTGATCTCAACTCAGGCAGTCCCTTCCTCAATACAGTGCAAGTAACAAACATGAAAAGCCTGTCTTGTTTCCCTTTGATTCTTGGCTTTCACAAGTAATGAGTTTTATTTCATATTCACATGTTTTGTCACATTAATCCAGGGCCCTGCAGAGACCAGGGCACAGGGACACAGATTGGAAATGTCTCCTGAGATTCTAGGTCCAGCACCAGGGAGCTATAGTGTTTTTCCTTAAGAGAGCATGTGGCAGGGGGGATCCATTCTCTGAGTTTCTGGGTCTGAGGATGTGGCCTTGAGGGAAGATGAGGGACTGTGAGCCCCATGGGATGGTGTCTGCGGGAGGAGTTGGGCTGATCCGTTCAGACCAGCTGTGGTTGTCTGAGAAAAAGACACGACCTCCTGTGGGTGAGAAAAAAGTGTGCACGAGGGTCTCAGGTGTGAGCAAGGACAGAACAAACCTTTCCAGGTTTGTGCCTAAATTTGAAGGTAAATGGAAGGTGGATCACACAACCCCAAAGGTCTACATAGGCATCTCCCCTGGGGCTGGACATCAATGCTGGTCTCTCTCCCACTCCCAGTGTGGCATGTGCAGGGGCTGCTGGGTCCCAGCTCAGCCCCCAGCTCGGCTGACACCTGCCTTCCCCTGCTACACAGCCTTCCTGGTCTCTGACCTCCGGAGCAGGAAGAGAGCTCTCCTTGTTTTTGAGACACGGGTCTGAGCCACATCCCCAGTGTGAACAGTGCCGCTTCCAGAATCCACCATGACCAATCAGACTGCATGGTTGTCCCCAGCAGGAGCTGGGGAGCAGTGCTGTGTCCTGCCCTTTGTGGGGGGGCTCCCCAGTCCAAACCACTGGGCCCTGCATGTTCCTGCTGGTGACGAGGGGACCCTTCTCAGTGTCCATTTGCACACTCTGAGCGCCTGTATCTGTCCGCACCTCCCATGGACCTAGAACTGTCAGCTCACCTGCTTCAAAGGCCACCACAGGGTCCAGCTGGGAGTGTTGTCCTGTGTGTCCCTAGTCCCCAGCCACCAGGGACTTGACTATGACAGTGAAGGGAGAGTCACCACCACTGCAGGGACCAAGTGTGACCACCCTGCTGTCCGCTCCTGAGCCACACTGTGATCGTACTCTGTGACAGGGACATAGAGGGGCTGTCTTTGCATGTCTGGGCACACTGTGCTCCTGCAGCCTGTCACTCTGCTCTGGCAGATCCCACACCAGGAGACGCTGCCAACGCCGTGGGCCTGCCCACACCTACCTCGATCGTCTGGGATTCACTGAAGATTTGGATTATCATGACATTAATTAAATGATATAAAAACCCACCCTGAGCAGGGCATAGCAGCTCCCACCTATAAACTGAGCTGTTTGGGAGGCCAAGGTGGGAGGATCCCTTGAGCAGGAGACTGAGGCTGCAGGGAGTTGTGAGGACAGCACTGCACTCTAGCCAGGAAACATAGTGGATTTAGTCTCAAAGAATTAACACAACAAAGTTAAAAAAAATCCTCATTAAGAGTCTTTCGGACTATAATGCGTATACTAGTCTCTGCCATTCCTCACTTCAGGATGTGACGTATTATTTGGTTTTACATCCACAGATGGGAAGGAAATGGGAAAAGAATGAACATTTATCACACACATAAGGCCAGGTGGTCCACACCTTCGTGTTTGAAGGCACATGGGGTCTGTTGTACCCACCCACTCCTCCACTGTGATGTGGAAGCCACTGATGTGACCTAAATGAATGGCCTGGCTGGGTTCAATACAATCTGCAGAAAACTAGGCAGCAGCTCTAGGGCATGGCCCTGACTTCAGGGACACCCTGATGGTGGAGGGATTTTCCTTGGGGCCTGTGCTTGATGCAGGGGGTTCTGCTGTAGACAATTATCTCAGGTCTGGCAACTGGACAAAGGATGGAGTTCTCATGGGACCCTGACCTTGGCCGTTCCCGGTGACCTGTGACTACACTGAACAGAGCCCTTGGTGGCTGACCATCTCCTGGTTCCAGAGATGCTGAGTTCTAGGGACCCTCCCACGGAGCTGCAGCTCAGACCCCACGATGACCACTCTGACCTCAGTCACCTGCATGGGACACTGTGGACTCCACCCCTCTCTCTGTATCCCCATGTCATAGGCGGGGCCTTCTGTCCCTGTCTGGGGCTGGGTCTGAGCACAGGTCCCTTCCACTCCCCACTCTATTGTAGGGGCCGGCCCATCCTGACTGGTCACACAACTGTAGAGGAAATGCTGACATCACCAAGGTCCTGTCCTGGGGACTGTGACTACATGGTCCTCACAAGGCCCCGAGTTCCCATCACGTGCCCAGCGAGTCTGACCTGCCTGGCCGTGACCCAGCTCCCTGTGTGCTGTGACTTTAGCTTGTGTCTGAATCGCTTTCCCGGGAGCATCCCAGGGATAGCCCCTCTGCTCTACTGTCCAGGGCTCTGGTGGGAAGGGACAGTCCTGCTCAGTGGGGCTGGCGCTGTTTGCCTGGAGCAGTGTCTGACCCCAGGTCCCTGGGACCCAGTTCATGGGCCCCCTTATCTCATATGGAGTCTCTCACTTACTTTGCTTTTCTTTTTCTCTTTCTTCTTTAGAACTACAACCGGCTCTGTTGTGAAATCCTGTGTACACACGAGAAGTTGAAAGCACAGCGTGAAGGACTCGTGTGCACAGACATGTCCTCTCCCTGCTGGGACACAGGGGACACCTGCTGCCCTCCAGCCCCCACCCTGCATCATCACAGTGACGATATCCCGGCAGTCCGGAGTGGGGACATGGTGGGGTCTTCAGCTGCACGAGAAAGTCTCTCATGGCTGTTTGCATCATCCGCAGTCAGGGAGCTCAAAGTCCCCGCTCAGGGTCAGTCACACACCGTCACTGCAGTCCTCTGTGACACCACATGTCTCAGTCACTGGGGCTTGAGACATATAATATCTTTAGAATCCAATACCAGAACCAAAGTCATTATCATTGCTCAGAGTAGGACAAGGCTCCCTGTGTGCAGGAGGATCAGGCTCGCTCTCGAGTCCATCTGCAGGTTCTGCTCAGTGTAGTCACAGGTGAGAACTCCATCCCCTGCCCTTGCCAGTTGCAGGGGGAGGTTGTGGGTGACCCATGGGCACTGAGTTGATGGAGGGGAGGTGGCAGGTGATGACAGCCTCACCACCAAAGTGTGTGGTCACAGTCTATAGATGGAGTTGGACGTTGAAGGCCCCAGTCATTGTGCAGATGGAGTTTGCAGGGCTGAATCTGCAGTGCACAGGCCCCAGCACTGGGAGCCACGGTGCACATGTGGGTCAGGTGGCCAGTAGGGACGGGACTGTGCAGTGTTCCCATCGTCCCCACCTTCTGTGTGGTTTTATTTGGCGTCCATCTATCTTATGTCTTATCTATGCTTTGATTCTCCAGACAGATGTGGTGTATAAATTATGACTTTGCAAATGAAGCCTGAGGAGGAGGAGGGGGTTTGCTGCCTACTGGACATCCCGATGTCCTTAGTGTGGAAAACAACAGCCCTCTCCTCCTGTCACTTCTCTAGTGCAACAGGGGACACAGGAATTCCTCTGTACACTGAAGTCCACTCACATGGGCCTTACTGGGCTGATGGTCCATGACCAATCTCACTGTGGGTCACGTATAGACAACACCCTGTGGGTGCAGCCAGGGCTCCAGCCACGCTAATGAAGCCTGTCCCTGCCTGTCACAGCTGTCACAGGAGAAGGGAGGGTGACATTTTATGGGTATCATGCCTGAAATACAGAAAAACATGAGTGTGAGGCAGGAGGCTCAGGGAGCAGGTTTCCCTAGACCAGGAAGAATCACAGGGAGGGCGACAACTTACTGATGCCATCGTGGGAACAGTGTCTGAGCAAGGGATAGGACAGGAGCCCCAGGTCCTTGCTCCCACCCCTGAAGAGTCAGTGCAGTGAAGGGACAGCAAGTGGTGAGGACGCCTTGAGTACAGTCCTGAAAACAGCTGCTGCTCCGTTGAGATTGATGAGTCACAAATGTCACCAATTTCTTGCTATCAGCAGTCTGAGTGTTGTGAGACATGATCACATTCAAGGAAGCCTTTTCCCTGCAAAGACCCACCTCACCAGCACTGTGCTGTCTCAGTTATGCCAAAGGCTTCGTCCTCCTCTGGAGCAAGGTCCTGGCAGATACCAGAGGCCCCTTACAGGCTGGCGTCCCATCCCTCCTCTCTACAGAGGCTTCAGCTCTCTGAAAACAAAGAATATCCCGAAGAACTCACAGCACGTGGCTGCTTTCATTGGTGGAAAAGTGTCAAACTGTTAGAGGTTCAGGGTAGCTAATGTGACCCAGGAAGATCACTTCACTGGAAAATGTTGAAATAAGGGAGACACTGGCAGGGCCAGGGGCACACACAGCTCCTGGTACACATGGAAAGACGGAAAATGACTTCAACTTCATGACTGAGACGAAAGGGGAGCTGTGGGACAACTTTCCTGAACACAGTCAGCCCATCTATGCTGGGGGCATTGAAGGTGACCCAGGGTCAACAGAGCTGATAGTAGCTTAAGTGTCCTCCAGGAGAGTCCTCAGCCCCTGGTAAGTAGGGACAGGCAGGGGTGGGTCTGAGCCCACCTGTGTTTCACTGTCCCCACTTCAGCCGCCGCATCCAGGACACCCCCCAGTGACTGAGTGTGCTCAGTCCCTCCCAGACCACCTGCCATGAAACCAGGAAAGGCCTCTCAGCTCACCTGATTCACACCTCACCTGCCCTGAACACTTCACAAACAAGAAAATATCACATCAGACAGGAGCTGGCTTGGATCCCAGCTCCCTCAGCTGACCCTGTCCTGCAGATCCTCACTCCCCAGACTCTTCCCCTGCAGGGCCCTGGCTCAGCTCTTCCCCTAAACTGCCCATCACAGTTGTGCCTTCGTGAC